GGGCTGGCGCGGGATCGGGCAGTGTTTCGTTCTGCTGTGCATGGGGTCGCTATGAGTCGGAAACGACTCAACGGCACTTAACAACAACAACAACTGGCTGAGAAGTTAGCAAGAGGGAAAATATCATCTAGTTGAACTTGGAAATGAAAGCCCTCTAGCCTAGGGACAGGAATGACAGGGGGTATCACCTCCAGACAACAAAGATTCTGAAGGGTCTTCCAGGGATGGCTGGAGAGCGAGGATCGATTAGTGCTGCCTGCCCTGGGCACAGCAGGGGTCTGTACTGTCCACACTCCACTCTCCCCTGGAGAACGTGGCCCCCCACACTCACAGGCAGCTAGGTGAGATCGGCAGGACACAGGAAGGGGGTCTACACGAGTAGAGAGTAACCCGATTCTCACATTCCAACTGTCTCTAGTGGAGACGTTCTCTAAGGTCTGCCTAGCCTACACATTCCACGAACGTCCTGGGCCTGGCACCCAGCTGCCCCAGCCCTGGCTGTGACGAGGACAGGGGTAGCCCCAGGGCTGAATGGAACCACGGGGTCAGGCCAGACAGCCTTTTCCTTCAATGGGCCTGGGCACAAGCCTAAGGAGTGGCTCTGCACTGGAACCTGGTGCCGGGAACACCTGCTTCCTCCATGTCCACAGAGGTTACTCAAGGGCTCCAGACAGTGCAAGCCTCACGCTCAGCACGTTTCCTGCCGGCAGCAGGTACAGAAGGCATGCAGTTCTGGGCCTGGGAACAGGCCCGATGCCAGGCTTGGAACCCGACTCTCCCAGGATGGGCCCCATAACCCGTCCCAGCAGGCCCTGGCGGCTGCCAGCTCCCCGAGTGTGGCCCAGACCTGCTCAGAATCGACTCCACCAAAACCGTCTGGGCACTGATATCACTGCAACTCCCAAGCTGGCACGTCTTTGTCAGGTCCTGCCCCATCCCAGGGGTCAGGGCCTGAGCGCGGGTGGCTGGCTGGCTGGCCAGGCCCAGGGGAGGGCAACCCTCCTGCCTTCACCTGCACCCCGATACTCAGCAGATCCGCTGGCTCCGCCTCCAAGGCCACTGCCCCCTCCCCCCACCCCCGTGTGGCCACCACCACTGCCTGGAGTGGCCCTCCTGCCCCCCCAGGGCCCCCTGCTCCTGCTGTCGCCCCCTGTAGCCCTCTACAATGACCAGAGAGCTTTCTAAATGAGCAATCGTATCTCCCACGCACACGTACCCTAAGTCACTGGAGGACTCCGCTGCACTCAGACAGTGCACTCCACCGAGGCCGGCGGCCCTCTACAAACTCATCCCCCCTTTCCTCCTGACAGCCCAGCCCCAGCAGCCCCTGGGAGCTCCTCCAACACCGAGTCTGCCCCCTGCCCCGGCCTCTGCACATGCTGTCTCCACTCGCCCACAGCTGGCCGCTCATCTCCACACAGAGCTCCCCTGTACCGGCCGCTCCCCCACTCCGCCTCCTCGACTGCAGGAACTGCTCTACAACGCTCACGCTGAGCTGGGCCATCCATCGATGCGCGCCCCCGATTCGTGAAAGGATCAGCTCCCGGGGGCAGGGCCCGGCACACTCAAGGTCACAGCCCTGCTGCCTGGCACAGAGTGCGGCGGTCACTGGTGTGGGACAGGTGGCACACACTACCTGCCACAGGTGGAGGGGCCAGTGGGTCAGACAGGGAGTGGTGTGCAGGTCCCGGGCACTCGTGGAAAGAGGGGACCTTCCTCCCCAGGGCCGCTCTGCCCTTTGTCCTCAGACAGGCATGGCCCATGGCTGCAGGCCAACCTGCCTTTCTAGAGAGGACACAGGCCACTAACAAAGCTGGCCAGCTATGGTGGCCTAACCCTGGGAGGCTCGGGGTGGGAGCCACTGGTCAGAGGTGGTCTAGGCTAACCCGTGCAGGGCAACCTGACCCGTCCCCAGGGGCAGACTGGCTCACGCACGCCTCCAAACTGCCACCACCACCTGTTGCTGCATGCCAGGGTGATCTGGGAAGGGCACCTCTCAGGGACACTGGCTCAGGGTTTCCTGGGTCCAGTGGACACTGGGCAGAGAAAGGAGATCCGGGGAACAGGAAGCTAGGCCCCGCCTGTCTCCTGACCTTGAGCTTCACGTGGTGCCAATAAAATATGCCCAGGCAGCTGTGCTCACACAGCTGCCCAGGGAATCGCCCCAGTGACCGGCTCCCTGGCAAACCCAGTGACCTCAGCCTGGAACAAGGTCAAGACGACAGGCAGAGCAGGAAACTGTCCATGCCTCAGCCCTGCTTCCAGAAATTTGCACCTGGACTGAAGCACACCAACAGAGGCGGGGCCACGAACGCTTCCATGAGTGCACAAAGCTTCCGAGGATTTTGAGAGAGAGACCAATGCTGAGCGAGTGGGAGATTCCCCATGAAGACATGGCTTCTGGAAAGAAGCCCCCAGGCCTGTGGTGGCGCGTGGTGCCTCTCAGCTGTGGCTGACTCTGGCCACTTGAAGGAGGAGGAGTTTGCCACAATCCACACCACTCCCTTCTGCCTCCCACCCGCATTTTGCTCATTTCTCTGCCTCCCCGCTGCTGACCTCGAGTTTACAACAAGTGCTCGAGACACACACAAGTCCCTTCCTGCGCACCCCTTGTGCCCCGGGCCCCCAGCCACACACTCACCCTCCTTCTCGGCAGGTGGCACGGGGCTCCGGCTTTTGCCTCGAGGGCTGTTGCTGGGCTCCTGGGGGTCATCGCTCTCCGCCTGCAGGTGCTGTGGGGGTGTCGGAGTCAGAGAAGCTGGCTTTGGGGGGGCTGCGTCCTCCCGAGGGGGCTCATGAGCTTTGGTGACCTGCTGAGGGAAGTGGGGAGAAGCTGGTCAAGTCAGGGTGAGCTCCCACACACCCTGTGCCGACCAGCCTGGACTCAGAGGCCAGAAGAGTCAGTGATAAGCCTAGGCTCACATGGATTGGTACCAGGGCAGGGACTTGCAGCCGTCTTGGCCGCTGGGTGGTGGCGGGAAAGCACTGCCACCCTCTCCACCCAGCCCCCTCTGCACCCGAAATCCCTCAGGGAGCTGGCAGCCTGGCATAGCCAGGAGTCCTGGCCGATGTTCAGCCCGACTTGCTGGGGTCTTTTGGCCTAGTCGCCCCAGCTGCACTTGGAAGCCCAGCCCTGCCTCTGGGCCCTTGAACTTTCTTCAGGGGCCCTTGCAGGGCAGAGATGAGGCCTGGGGGCCCCAACCTCCTCTTGTCAAGGGGCTGTGTACAGCCAGGGGGATTCCCTGCCTCTGTACGGCTTAGGATCCAGGCACGAGGGCTCAAGAAGCTCCCGGGGGTGGCCAAGCCAGCTCCAGGACCAAGACCGCCATGCTCGTTCAGGCCCTGCCTGGCCTCTTCGCTCCCTCGGCCTCTTCTCCCCGGGATTTCTCAGGAAATGGCGAGGAGGGAGGGGAGAAGGAGGAATGGCTGCAGGTGTTCCCGCCACCCCAGCTGCACACTGGCCGCTGGACAGGAAGCTGGGGAGCTGGGCTGCTTCCTCTCTCTGCGGGGAGCCCACAGAGAGACTGGCACACTCAGCAAGGGAGGGGATAGTGGGGAAGAGCCCAGGCACTCACAGAGGAGCCTCGGGGAGGCAGCACATACGATGGGGGGACCCAGAGGGCTGGCACTTACAACAGGAGGAATGGCGGCTGCCCGCTGCTTCAGCTGTTTCAGGTCCAGTGGCTTTTGGGACGACGCGTGGGCCCTGGCATCGCCAGCAGGGGTCAGCAGGCTGGGTCTCGGGGACAGCAACCTGGGAGGGAGACAGACAAGAGTCAGCTGGCAGCAGCCACGGCTCACAGCTGGGTCTAGGGGAGGGGAGGGCCCTCCTCGGCTGCCTCTCCAACCCCAAGCCCTGGGTGGGTCCAGGAGAGCGGTTGTGAGAGAGGAGGTGGTACAGCAAGGGAGGTGGTCACAAAGCCAGCATCCACCAAGTCCCAAAAGGACGCCAATGGGCCTTGGGGTGGGGAAAGGGACGGGAGGATATGGCTCACTCCTGGAGGACACACAGGCCCCGTCAGGGCCCGGCCTCCACCCATCAGGCAAAAAAACCAAAGGCCCTGCCACTGAGTTGATTCCAACTCACAGCAACCGCACACGGCAGAGCAGAACCACCCCGTAGTGTCCGAGGCTATAAACCTTGATGGGAGCGGACTGCCTCGTCTGTCTCCCACGGAGCAGGCCGTAGATTCGAACCACTGCTCCACAGGAGAAAGAGGAGGCAGTCTAACCTCTTGGTCAGCAGCCACACGCTTTAACCGCCAAGCTACCAGCAGGCAGAGGCCAGGATCAAACGCTCCTGAGACACCCCAGGAAGGAAAGCCAGAGAAGCTGGGGCCACACCAGGCGGGGACTCGGGAGCCGCCAGAAAGCCAGAGTCCACTGGATTAGGCCTCCCAGCTGAAGGGATCTGGAGAGATGAATCCTCACCCACAGCCCGGAGGCTGCGGCTGCAGGGCGGGGAACCTGACTGCAGTGAGTCAACCCGTTTCCCGGCGATCAGAGTGGGCGCCAGCCCATGACCCAGAGGCTGCATGACCTGGAAGTCCCCTGACCCATGTACTAAAACCAAAAACTACCCACACCCACTGCCGTCAAGTCGAGTCCGACTCGTAGCGACCCCTACTGGGTTTCCAAGGCAGTAAACAGAAGTCAATTGTCCCATCTTCCTTCCATGGAGTGGCTGCTGAGTCTGCACTGCCAACCTTCCCAGTCAAATGCCTTGGGCACCAGACCACCAGAGCTCCCCACATACTTAGGAGAAGTTAAACGGGGCCCTGTGGTCCTGCTGGGATGACTCAGCCATCGATACACCCCGGCACTGAGCCAGCTCAGGACTGGCGGGAGGCATGAGGGCATCAGCCACATGACCGAAATCCACCAGGACAGCACCTGCTGCCACGGCCCTCTACTGTGTGCCGTGACCCAGATGGCTGAGGCCACAGCTGCCTGGAAGACCCGTATCCACCTTGCCAGGGGGCGCACAGGCCCATGCCGATGGCAACAAGCATCCCTCGGGCACATGGCACAACACAGTGAGCAGACTACCTCCCTGCAGCCCCTTGCTCCTCTCACTGTGGCCTGAGGCCCAGGAGGCCAGGCCCACGGTGGGCACCAGCCCCTGCTTGCACCTGTCACCTGCTCGGCTGAGCTGGGAGAGGCAGGCCGATTGAGGCTGTCCACTCAGCACCCATGGCGAGGTCACAGTGACCGCCCCCAGCCGACCAGCCCCAGCCCACTCCTCTCCCTCCCTGGACCCAGACTCTGCAGCTGCCGAGATCCAGCACAACCCCACCTGCACCCCTCCCAGTGCTGGACAGCCCCTGCCCTCCCGGGCTCCTGGACGCAGACAGACCCTGGCCTACCTGCCACCCCCTCACCAACGGCTTCAGTCTGAGTTCCAGCGTTCCCACCACCCCAGCGTTCCCACCTCCCAACATGCTGCCATCACCCAGGACCCTCTCCTCACACTGACGCGTGGTCTTCCACCTAGAGCAGCACAGTTTCAATCCTTGATGTAAAAAAGGATAGTCTCTAGATAGTAGAGCTGACAAGGGACAAGGTTGTGGTCACTTCTTGGCCACAGGCAGCTACCCAGAGGAAGCGAGTAGTTGGATCTGTGGGCTTGGGACCATAGTCGCAAGGGACATCAAGCTCAATTGGCGTAACATACTACACAGAACATTGTTCCACCTCCTACTTTGGCGAGTAGCAACTGGGATCTTAAAAGCTTGCAAGCGGCCATCTAGATGGGATGACGGGTCTCTCCTTGTCCAGAGCAAAGAACAATGAAAGAAAACCAAAGACGCATGGAAACAATTCATCCAAGCAACTGGTACACCATGCGATCTGCAGCCTGTATGACTATGAGACCAGAAGAGCTGGATGATGCCCGGGTACCACCATCAACCACTTGGAGGGGGATCTATGTAGGCGATCTGGATAGAGAGGGAGAACAATGTGGAAAAAAACTCAAAATCATTTGGGGAGGAAAAAAAAAGAGACCAGGTTTGCTAGTCCTGATGGACCCCCTGAGACTATGGCCCCTAGCTGCCCTTCGGGTCTGGAGTTGAACCCACTCCTGTGGCTTCCAGCCAAACAAAAGACTGGCATGTGAGCTGAACATTTACATTAGGTAGATACACTCCTTGGAGAGATCAGTCATGGGAGAATAGAAGGTCTGTGTATGCACAGGGAGACAGCTCAGGGGGCAGGAGAGCGTGAAGGGAAGGACACAGGGAAGAGGTAACTTTGGGGAGGAAGTGGGAGGGGAGCTGTTGCATTGTGGGAAACTGTAGTCAATGTCATGAGACAAAGTGTATGTGAGCTGCTGTGTGGAAAGTGAATTTGCTCTGTAAACTTTCACCCAAATCACAATAAGAATTTTAAGAAAAGAATATTCTTACAGCCTCCCTCTGCCCCTATTCAGGTTCTCAAAAGGCTGACCCGGCCGCTACTCCAAAGCCCAGCAAGGCCACTCCTAGGTCCACTCAAGACAGCTGAGGACATGTGTCTACACGGACACCTGTCCATCAGCAGATGGGGCAAAAGCAAACACTACACGCATGCTGCTGCCGTGGGTGCTGGTGAGTCCATTTCAGCTCAGAGTGACCGCAGGACAGAGTGGAACTGCCCCACAGTTTCCAAGGCTGTCAGTCTTCACAGAAGCAAAGCCCAAACCACACCCACTGCCTGGAGTCCATTCTGACCCACAGCGCCCCTAGAGGACAGAGTGGAACTGCCCACAGGGTCTCCAAGGCTGTCAGTCTTCACAGAAGCAAAGCCCAAACCACACCCACTGCCTGGAGTCCATTCTGACCCACAGCGCCCCTAGAGGATGGAGTGGAACTGCCCACAGGGTCTCCAAGGCTGCCATGTTTATGGGGGCAGATCATCAGGCATTTCCTCCCACGGACCTGGTAGTGGTTTTGAACTACCAACCTTCCGGTTAGCCGCTGACGGAATTAACCACCAGAGTTCTTTTAACAACATTCTTTGACCATGCAAAGGAAGGAAGCAGCGATTGGTGTTGCCTCCTGAGGGAACCCTGAAGACACCATGCTAAGGCAAGCAGCTGGACAAGCGGCCCGTCCTACATGCCTCCGTTTCTAGCAAGTGCACAGAACAGGAAACCCCCAGAGGTGAGTGGTTGCCAGGGGCTTGCTGGGGGACCCCTCCCAGGTAGAGGACCAGGCTGCAGCAGGACAAGAGTCTGCCCTCGACTCCACAAGGTCCCCGAGTCCTGAGTCCTTGGGAGAGGGGAGGAAGGTGGGGGGCTACCCCTCAGGGCTGCCAGTGCCCAGGCCCCAACAACCCCAGGGAGCATGTGTGCCCCCCTTTCTCCTCTGTCTGTGGAAGACTATGCCTTTCTTTTCCTGGGTGGGCTAGGGGCCCGCAGGGCCTGGCACAGGCACATGGCCTGGGAGGCCAGGGAAGTTAGCCAGACGGCCCCCACGCCTCCTGCACTGAGCTCGGGCTCCTGGTTCAAACCCTGCCTCTGGCCCCAGGACAGCCAACCACGCCTCAGTTTCTTCACGTATACCATGCAGACCAGAAGAGCTGGTCCCTCTCAGGGCTGTGTCGGTGGACAGGGTCACACCTGGAGCCAAGGAGGTCAGCTGAGCCTGAGACTGAGGGCCGGGGGCAGGAGGGGCTGCCAACAGCGTGCTTACGGACACAGTCGTGTCCCCCCTGCTTCCCCAGAACCAAACTCCAATGCCTCACCAGGGCTTGGGCCTCTGACAGCCTCTCCCGGCCCTCCTGCTCACACGGCCCCACCCCACGGGCTTCTCTGCTGCCCACAGAATGTCATCTCCTGTGGCCCCGGGTCCTGCGGTCATTCCTCCGCCTCGCTTTCCCTCCTGTGCCGCGTGGGAGGGCTCCGGGGGGACCCTGCGATGTCAGAGGGAGGGGCGCCTCCCTAAGTGACCGCCTACCCCTACCCCATCTTCTCGCGGAAGGAAGTGCTTTTCCTATTTGTCACGCCAGAGCGCAGGCCCCCGGCGGCCGTCTGGCCTGCTCCCCCGCAGCGCCCTGGAGACCAGAACGGTGCCTGGCACACACTGGACCTGCCCGACATTCACAGAGAGGGACAGAAGGAACAGCTGAGGGGCCCTTCAACAGCACCAGGGCCTGGTGGAAACCGACTCCAGCCCCTCGTCCGGAGCCCGTCAGGGTCCTCAAGCAGGTCAGGAGCAGCAGCCGCTTCACTGAGCACCTGCTGTACGCCTGACCCTGGTTATTAATTTAGCCGTTCTCACAACAAAGCAGCCAAGACGGGCCATCGTTTCACAGGGGAGGACACTGAGGCTGGAGCAGACGGGCCCTCTGAAGGCCCAATGCTGCCAGAGGGCAACAAACACCTCCCCCGGGGAACGGCCGGGGTGGGGTGGCAGGCCCGGGATCTTGCAACGGAAACCACTGTCTCTGGCCATGTGCCAGCAACACCCGGGCAGAGGCGCTGCCGGCCGAGGTGCTGGCAGAAAGGGCTGGGTGGGGAGCAGCGTACAGCCCTTCCCCCCAGTCTTTGGGTGCTGGTGGGGGCCAGTGCCAGACTCGGGTTGGTCCAGAGCGTGCCGTCCCCGGAGCTAGGGCTGCTGACACGACAGAGCGAGGTGGCCTGTCCCGGGAGGCCTTGGCTGCCAGCGTGTACAGTGACCTCTTCTCCTGTGTCCTCTGGCCCCCGCTGGGCCTACCATCGGGGCCCAGGGAGGGGGTGGCAGGCCGCCAGCAGGAAGAGGTCAGAAGGCTGGCCAGAGTCCAGATGCAGCCTCGTGGGTGAGGGACCACCCGGTCACGCAGGGTGTGACGGACCAGGTGTCCTGACTCCCAGCCCAGGGCTCCAGTTCCCCAGGGTGGGGGGTTGGAAGCAGGGCACTCAGACAATGGGTTGGCAGAAACCAGACCCAGCTGGGGAGAAGGAGATGCTGGGGGTAAAGGGGTACTCTGGGACCTCAGGCTCCCCTAGTACTCCAGGCAAGGCTGCGTGTATGGGTACCCAGGAGCTAGCGCGCTCCCCACTTGGGCAGACGTGTTTCCATGACACCATCCCTGCCGCCAGCAGAAGCCTGCCCGCCCTGACCCCATTACCCAGGAGTAAGCAGAGCACATCGGCCGGCCTGGCCACCAGCCATCCCTGGCGGTCAAACGTGCCATGAACACTGTTTTCCGAGCTGAGCCTGTCATCAGAGAGCTCAGAGCCCAGCCCCGTGCCCCCAGGAGCCCGCCGGCTGGGCCTTCACACATCACAGGGTCCCCCAGGCCATCTGTGCTCGTACACAAACAGGGTGCGGCTCCCAGCAGGGGGACAGGGAGCCCTAGACACAGAGGCTGGCCCAGAAGGATCTGAATGACTCTGATTTTTATGTGGAATGTTCTAGAAGCCACCGTTTTAAGAGTCCCGAAGGTGAATCACAGGGCAAAACCGTAGGATGTGAAGGTCATATTTTCCTCCCTCTCACTCTGCCCTGAACTTTTCCGAGACGCAGAGGACAAAACAAACCACACTGTTTTCAATCAAAATACAAGAGACACGCCTGCCTCGCCAGCAAACAATTCTGAACTGTCCAGATGGGGCCACTGCTTTGATTGGGGCCAGGGGCCCCAGTGGACGTCAGTGCCCAAATGGTTAAAATCCCAGGCCCGGCCCCCCGCCAAGAGCAGAGACAGGTTCCAGAGAAAGGAACCCACCAGTGTGAGCAGTGCTCAAGCAAGACGGCAAAGGAGGCTCCCAGTCACTGTGACCTGGGGGACAGGGCAGGGCCCTTGGTGCCCAAGAAAGGGGCTGGCGCACCTCCGCACACCCCAATCCCAAGCAGCCGCCTCCCTGCTGCCCTCGGCCCCATTCAAGCACTCTGCTTGGCGATTACACACTGTGCTTCTCTCGGGCAGAGAGTTCGAGTCCTTCCTATTGCACCAAGAGCAAAACGCAGCCACCCCACGGCGGCCCTGTGGGCGCCCGACACCTGGTCCTGGCCGCATGCCCTCCTCACTCCAACCACCTTGCCTCCCACCTGCCTCCCCACCAGTTCTTGAATCACACTGCACTCACCCCCACCCGGGGCCTTGGCAGTGCTGCTCCTGCCGCCTGGCACACGCTCCTTCTGGATCTCACCGTAGCTGCCTCCTAGCCAGGTCTCCGCCCCTCCCCAGGACAGCTGGACCCTGCAGCCCCGAGGGCAGGTGGGCTGCCTGCTCCCGTCTACCTGGGCAGTGACGCCAGAAGCCGCTCGCCGTGGGCCCGCTCACCTGTTCTTGTCGCTGCCCTCGGCCTCGTCCACCTCGTCCGCGCTGCACGTAGCGCTGGAGTCGCTGTCCTGGGGCGCGCCCGCGCACTTGGCCACAGCGGGCTTGCCGCTGGGGCCACAGCCTGCGCCGCCGCTCTCCCTCTTCTCGGTCTTCGCGGAGCCCTCGGGCGTGGCCTCGGCACCCCCCTCTGTGCCCCTGGCCCTGTCGGGGGCATCCTCCTCCACCTCCTCCTTGCACTCGACCTTGCATTTGACTGGCGCCTCGGCAGGCGCCTCCCCGGAGTCCTCTGTCTTCGCCACGTCCACCACCAGCTCCTCCGCCACAGCGGGCTTCCGCTCCTCCTCCTCGTCGGCCAGGGTGGCGGTGGCCTCGTCCTTCTCCTCCTTGGGAGCAGCAGGGGCGGCAGGCGACGGGGGTGCCAGTGGGGGTGTGGGCGGGCCGGCGGTCTCAGGGGCCGGGGTGGGCTCGGTGGGGGCCGGGGCACCCTCTGGCGGTGGGGTAGGCGGCCCAGAGGGCGGGCCGTCAGCACCCGGGGTGGGTGTGGGCTTGGGTCCATTCTGTCCAGTGTCCTTGGCGGCCTCAGTGCGGGGTGACGGGATGCTGTCCGTGTCGGAGCTGTTGTTGACGGCAACTGTGGAGACCAGAGCAGGGGTGAGGAATGGGCTGGGGGCCGGCACAGCCCTGGGCGGACTCCACCACCTGACACTAACACAGCCCAGGGGCTTTGACACACCTGGGAGCCCCACTCGGCACCCCATCCCAAGAGGGGCCATCCTTAGCCGAATTCGTTCTCCCCACCAGACCCAGGAGCCTAGCTGTCTCATGCCTCCCAACCCTGATGCCTGGCATCCACCTCTCCACCCACACAGAGCCAGAGGAGTGGGGGCTGCAGGGGTCTGCATGCTCCCACCTGAGCCTCTGGCCCCCCACTGGCTGCAAGATCTCCAGAAACAGGTGGCCTCGCGGCCTTGGTTTCCCTGTCTGTACGACAGGAGCACGACTCTGCCTCCCTTGCAGGGACAATCAAGCCAGTGAGCAGGACAGTGCGGGATGAGAGATGAAGGCCTGTGATCATGTCATCGCAACTGGGCAGCAAGGACGTGACTTGGGCTGGTGAGCAGGGAGGCAGCCCCGGGACACGGCACAGCCATGCCCGTGGGAGGCCGTTCTAGCTGTCCTCACAGCCAGGCGTCTGTTACCCAGTCAAGCAGCAGTCTGGGTGCTGCCGTGGGGGGCTCTGCAGGTGTGATCCCACCCACAGCTGAGGACAGCTCTACTGTCCTACAGGGGTGCTCAATCAGTATCAGCCTGGCAGCAGCGGGCGGGCCTGGTTTGGAGTTCCACTGTAACTACACGGTCAAGGATCTCTTGTTTACAACTATAAATAAATTTACGCATTTTCACGGAAAGAAAACCAAAGTGATTATCAATTATTAAGCGTCAACAAGAGGACAGAATTATGGATGATTAACACATCTTCTCCAGTTTCTCTGTATCTTCTAAGTGAGGTAACAAAGATGTAATGACTCTCTTAAAAGAAACCACGTCATCAGCTGACTCTAAGTGACGGCATTCACCCTCCACGACGCGGGCGGGCCTTACCTAATCAGCTGAAGGCCTTCAGAGGAGAAGGGAGTTATGTGGAGATGGGACTCTGGCTCTGGCTCACACAGACTGCCCGCCCGACTCCAGCCTGGTGGCCTGCCCTATGGAAGTCACGCTTGCCAGCCCTCTAGAGTTGCACGCATCAACTCCGTAAAATGAATCTCTGTTGGTCCTGCTTCTCTGCAGAACTCTGGCCCCTGCATCCTCCTCCTGCCACAGAGCCTGGCACACGGCAGGTGCAGTTAAGTGCTAAGTGAACCAGTGTGTGCAGAGCTGGACAGAGAGGGGCCCTGGGCCCAGCCCTGCCTCCTAAGCCTTAGAAGCCACCCCGTGACCTGTTTGGGTCTCAGCCCCCCACGTTCCCCTGAAATGAGGACATTAAACCCTCCCCCTTGCTATTGAGACCAAGCACACAACAGTCCCAGTGAACGCAGCAGGGAACGTCCACAAAACCGCAGGGCTGGGAGCAAGGCAGGGAACAGCATGGGGACAGACAGTGACTGAAGCAGGGGACAGAGGCAGTAGTGGCAGCAGCACAAGCAGGGGCAGAGAGGCGGGACAGGCGGCCTTGAGACGTCCCTCCCCAGCCCGGCCCACCTGGCTCCCCCAGGCCAGCAGCCACGTCCGTACCTGCGGCGCTGCAATCCCCTCTGGGCACCTCACTCCCAGAGGCATGTGAGGCTGGAAGGAAGTTAGAGAAGAGTTAGAAGCCAGCTGGGGGTGGGCAGCAGGGTTGGGTGGGAGAAGGCGCAGCCGGCAGGGGGCCTGGGGTCTGCAGGCAGCAGGGGGTCCCACAGCCAGCTCCTGGGGACAGGCACGGCTGCTTCCTACAGCACCCCAGGTGTTTGCTGGCAGGCAGCTAACGGGGCTTGGCCAAGGTCAGCCCATCCTGGGACTATTTAGGGGTGGGGTGGGGACGAAGTCTCAGCCACTCCTGGTGACTGTGACCAAGGCAGTGGCCTTCTCTGCTTCCAGCCTCCTAGGACCCCCTTGGGGGAGGTGCTGACCTCAAGGGTGGGTAAGAATGGAGGAGAAGGCCCTTGGGGCAGCCACCTCTGTAACCTCAGACGCAGAGCCCAGCCGGCAGGGGCCACCGTGGCCCCGGACAGCGGCTCCCCTCAGCTTTCACTGTCCGACGGCCCCACCCTTCCAGGTGAGCAGGGGCCACCCCTTCCAGAAATCACCCAGAGTGGTTCAGCTCCTTGGGCATGATCACCTCGTCCCTGCACGACCCCGTGTATGGACGAGGACTCTGTGGCACAGACAGGCTGAGAGACACCCCAGCAGCACTACAGAGGTCACGGGGCAGAGCGCGACCCAGCCCCCGCTCCTAACCGCGGGGCGTCCCCGCCAGGTGACAGGGCAGCGCGGTTGCTTCCTCTCACCTCATGAGACCACAGCAGGGAAGTCAGTGCTTCACCTCTGAACCCCAGCTTCTCCACCCACAGAGGGGCGGCCGGGCAGCCCTCAGTGCTCAGCACACGTGGCTCAGGGGCTCAACCTCCCCTAGCACCACAAGTGTCCGGAGGGCACCTCATTCCGCACCCACGGACTGGGCAGAGACTGCATTTCTGAGAAGCCGCGGGGGCGCTGCCGCTGCGGGTGGGGACGCACACCCTAAGAGGCGCTGCCCCAGAGGACGGGAAGGGGCTCTGCGCTGCACCTGGCAGAGTAGGTACTTTAAAGAGCACAGCCTTGCTCCCCCGGCTGCCTGAGGAGCACAGGGGCAGAGAGAGTCCCAGAGCCGGTGGCTGGGGTCGGGGGCCTGGCGCCCACGCACTCGCTGTCTAACCCTGGGCAACCCTCTGAACCTCGGTTTCCTCATCTGTCAAACGGGTACAGGCAACAGCAGCTACCCCACAGGACTGCTGTGAAGGGAAAGCAATGGACTGCAGCCCACTGCCACCACTGGGGCTCCCGGGCTCTGCCCAGCCCAGGGGGCCCCTCCTCCCCCGTACGGTTCATCATCCCACCCCATGGCCAGGTCCCCTGGAAGCCTCCCTCTTGGGCCTCGGCCCCCCTCCCGACAGCTATGCCAACCTCCCCTCATCCAGGCAGCCTTCCCAGAATTCCTGGAGACTCTGAACATGCTGTCTAACCTTCGCCTGGGTGGTGGAGCCCCTACAGCCGGCACCCCAAGGACACGGGGGTGCAGAGAAAGGCAGGCTCTCCTGCAGCTGGGAAATGAACCCAGAGCGACCATTTTTCCTGAGTCCACCACTCACGCACCACTGAGCTCCAGGGAAGACTTTCTCCACCAGCGTCCTTATCCCCGCACTGTTGCTGGGCGCGGGCACCGGGAGGTGCCTGCAGGGCTTTCCTCGAGCTGCTCAGGGACGCGTGAAGGACCCCAGGGACTCCCAGGAGCTGCAGCCCCTGCCACGCCAGCCCTGCCCCGGCCCCGAGGGTACGTAGGAGCTCCCGAGTGATGGCGCTCACTACCACACAGGTCTCCTACCGGGCAGCCCTGCCCCGGCCCCGAGGGTATGTAGGCTGCCCCAGCCCCGAGGGTACACATAGGAGCTCCCGAGTGATGGCGCTCACTACCACACAGGTCTCCTGCTGGCAGCATCCACTCATGTTTTGATACTGAGCCAAGACTGGCTTCTTTCCGTTTAACTCTGCTGCATCTGCCCACACAGACAGCTGGACAGGTATTTAAAGAGGGGAGTGGGTCTCTGCTCCCTGCATCTTTGCTGTCCCTGGCTACAAATCCCGGGACCACAATGGCGCGACCAGAGGGACCTGCAGTCCCGATCGTCCCGGATGCTGGCCAGGCCTCTGGCTGACCTGAGCAGGAGAACCCACAGCCGGCAAGGAAGCAGGGCTGAGCACGCCACAGCTGTCTCAATGTGACGCAACAACAACCCCGTGGCCCGAGACCCCACTTTGCACCCAGGAAGGGGGCTCCAGGCTAGCAGACCTTGCGCTTGTTCGTAGGCAGGCCTGCCTTTCAGGAGCACCTCCTTCTCCATGCTGGCAGAACCCGGGGAGTCCCACACACTGACACAGGCTGACAGGAGCAGCAGGAAGACGCCACACACGGGGCGGGAGGAAGCAGGGTTCCCTTCACTGAGAGTGTGAGGCTCAGCGGGGGTCACCCTGGCCGAGGAGTTGGAAGAAGGAAGGGCAGAGAGTCAGCTACGCGGGGTTGGGGTGTTCCAGGCATCACGCAATGGGGCAGGTGCAGAGCCAGCTTGTCTTTGAGAGGTAGAACCACAGGGGCCTACCCAGTGGTCGGGAGGGCAGGGTCTGGCCTGGGCAAGCTGGGCTAGACTGTCGGGTCTACAGACACTTATTACGTGGTGGTGTCTCGAGTTGTACAGGGGGCTGGCCCCACGATTAACGTGGTGACAATCTCGTACGGGCAGCTCCTTGTCTCACGGCTCGCACCTTTGCTCCTGGAGGTGGGCTGCTGGTGTGACATGGACTCCACTCTGCTCCTGCTCTGAGCACACCCAGGGCGGAGGGCTCCAGCTGAGACGGGCGCAGGTACCTGAACCCAGGGACACCTGAAGTCCTGAGCCTCAGTCCCGCCACGTTTAAAATGGAGACAGTAAATGGGGGGCATGTAACTTACAGCCCAAACTGGGGCACGCAGGGGTAAACGGAGAAACCCCAAACCAGCACGTGATTCAGGGCCAGGCAGCAAACGGCAGACTAGTTCTACCTACACCGGTCGACTCAGCATAGTTCCAGTCAGAAGATGGCTTGAAAATAGTTTTCTAAAACGTGGCACTGGGTCAGAGGCCAGGGCTGAACTCCCAGTGGGGCCAGGAGGATGGAATGGGGTTTAGACACATGCCTGGTGCCCAGAACCTCCTGAGACTGTTGCCGACCTGTCGTTATGGGGAGCTGCTGGCCCCTGTCCAAGGCCCCAGGAGCCTCAGAGGAGGGATGCTGCTGAGTGAGCTCCCGGCCCGGCCCGCCCCGCCCCTCCCTCTCCCCGGTCCTCACCTTCGGTCTCCTCCGCCATCTCCTCCTCGTTGCCGCTCCCGCCCGACACCTCCATCTCCTCGTCCTCCACCACGGGCGGGAAGGTGGCCTCCTCGCTGGCTGTGGGAGCCTTCTTCTTCTTCCGCCGGGCGTTCCGCTCCTTCTCCTAGGGCACAGGGCAGCGGCGGGTCAGTGCCCGGGCTCTCAGCCCAGGGACGCCCTGCGTGCGAGGCCTCACCACAGCTGCAAAGGGCAGTGATCACAGCCACGTGACCACGAGGGCGGCCGTCCCCCTGGCGCCCTCTGCCGCGGCCAGACACACCGGGGCTATTTTTACCAAGGTCTTTATTCTTCCAGAGTGTCCCAAATACGGCCTGACATTCTAACAGGGCAGGTGGGAACCTGCCGCCCCTGCAGGCCCCTCCCGGTGGTGGCTCTCCTACGGAGCATGTCCCCACAGCCCAGGGGACACCCCGCTGGGCTTGACCAGTGTGTGAGGAGTGATCACATCTAGGCAGGCAGTGTGGGAAGGTCGCAGTCTCTACGTGTCTTCACGGCGCACGTCTCTGCCCCAGGCCCTGAGCCAAAGCTTCCTGCCCTCAGAGGTCTTCCAGTTGGGAGACTGGCCACAAACACATCACACAAGGAAGGGCGAGGAGAGGAGACCAGGCTGTGAAGGAGACGGAGGAGGGAAGGGCCACAGCGGGCAGGGGCAGTGCACCTGCAGGCGGGAGGGTCAAGGACGGTGGTCCTACGTCCTAGGTGGGCTCGGCCTGGCCCGGTGCTGGACGAGGTGCTCCAGGTGCCAGGGTGGCAAAGCTGGCGAGGTGCCGGAAGGGAACAGGAGCTTTCCCTCCCCACCACTCCACCCTGCTCACCCGGCAGGCCGTCGGGCACTCAGCTGCCACTGGCCCAGGTGCCAAAGCATCCGTGCATCCGCTTGGCTGGGCTGCTAACCCAGCGGGCAGGAAAGACGTCTCTGGGTGCCCTTTGCCCCTGTGACTGACTGGCAGGATCACTGGCAAGGCAGCATTCGTGGGCCCGAACACAGAGTTGGTGAAAAGAGTTGGGGTGAGTTGGCTGCAGGTGTGGAGGTGATCAGGGTTCCTGAGAGGGCGCCCCCAAATACAGCAGGCGCAACAGGCAGTGGCACCTCTCCATGACCTCTCAGGGCCCAGAAAAACTCCCCCACAGCACGGCACGGCACAGCCCACCTCTGGGGCCTGCTCACTGGTGCCTCACTATGGCCAGGCTGACTAAAGGCCTGGGGTGGCGGTGGTGGTGCTCCAAACACACCATGCCCTGGGACAGTGCAGCCCAGGGCGGGGTCCATTCCTGAGCAAAGGGGGTTGCTCGGAGTGCAGTACTCAGAACACCCAGAGGAAGACAAAGATCCCTGACGCTGCGGGTCACGGTTTCCGTCCCCAGCCACTCCACTCCCGGGCCGGCCAGCCCACACTCCCCAGGGCCTGGTCCAGCCCTGCCCCAAACCCAGAGCTTCCTCGGGGAGGCCCCAGGCTTGAGCCCACAGAGGTGCAAGAAAGTGGTGTGGCGTGTGGCTTCTGTGGGTGCGGCCAAGGGTTCCCCCTTCTTCCTCAATCTATTTTTGGTGGACAGGGACTGAGAGCACTGGGAGCTGAGTGAGCGCACTCCTGGGTGGGCCAGGGAGGGACTGCAGGGGACCCTCACAGCCACACAGGCAACAGGATGCTCTGTGGGCTCAGAGTGCCACAGGCTTGAGACAGAGGGTCCTTCTGGAGACGAGAGGCCCTTGGGGGAGCCTCCAAGACCCCCAGCGAGCCCCGCGGACAGGAAGGTCAACACCCGGAACGGTGCCTTCCTTCTGAGACTGGGACTTAGTCTGCGTCTGGGATTCACACCAAACACTCCCACTGCCTCCGTTTCAGTTCACAACAGGGGACGTCACAAGACCAGGAACCAAGGCAGGCCCCAAGCACCCACCACGTGCCAGCACAAAACCCGGTGGCACGTGGTTAAGTGCGAAAGGCTGACGGCTCGAAAACACCAGGAAGAAAGACGGGCAGTCCGCTTCCCTGAACACCTATGGGCATTTCTGCTCTGGCCCACAGTGTCACTGTGAGTTGGAACCCACTCACTGGCAACCAGCTTTTTGGTTTGGTGGAGCAGTGGTTAAGAGCTCAGTGGTTCACTGGCTCCTCAGGAGAGAGGGCCTGGCAACCTCCTCCCGTGGAGATGACAGCCCAGGAAACCCTTGGGGCAGTTCCACTCTGTCTTGTTGGGTCGCATGAGCTAGAATTGACTTGGCAGCCCCTAAGAACAACACGTGCCAGTGTGGCCCAGGGATTAAGTCACTGGATTCACACAGCTGCTCTGCAAACCAGGACGTGACACCCCTGCTTCTCCAAACTCTCCAGGGGTTTCCCAACATCCCTGGAATAAAGCCCAGCTCCTCACCCCATCCCCATGGCCTCATCTCTGACACTCACTCCTGTACACTGGCCTCCTTGTGCAAACATGCTGGACACCTTTCCCCAGATATCTGCTCAAAGGTCACCTCCTCACAGAAGCCTTCCTTGATTACCCACTGCTGTCAAATGGATTCAGACCCATAGCAACCGAGAGGACAGAGTAGAACTGCCTGCAGGGTTTCCGAAGGTATACTCTCCACAGAAACAGATTGCCAGGTCTTTTGCAGCTGGTGGGTCTGAACCACTGTCCTTTCAGTTGACAACCGAGCACAACCAGGGCTTAACCACAAGCAGGGTTCCTTTCTTCCTTGATTATCTCATCTACATCAGCCAGCCCCTGGCCCTACCCCCACCCCCCATTAATCACTTCTTGACTATTACACCATCATCTAAAATGAGGTATGGGTTGTCTGGTGCCCTAAAGGTTAGCGTCCTGTCCTAACAGCAGGGACTTCTGTCTGTGTGGAGCTGGATCCCTAGCGCTCCTCACAGGGCCTGACATGGAGTTAAGCACTCCACTACCACTGCCTTGGAAGAATGAACCTGACAGAAAAGGACATAGCTCAGAGAGGCAAAGTCACTTGCCTAGGGCCACACAGCTCATGAAGTGCAGATCTGAATTTGGGGCAGGTTCAGAACCTTCTATGCCTGGATCATCTCTCTGAGCAGACCTATGTGGCCTTGGATAGAAGAGACAGTGAGTCAGACAAGGCCGCGTGGGTCCCAGGCAGAGACTGGGAAACAAGGAAGCTGAGCCCAGGGGCTGGACTTACAGTGGAGAGAAGCGGGTGACCTTCGGCCACACAGGGGGAGGACACCTTGGAGAAGGCACTGACGCATTACGTAACACCTGGCACCTGGGACTGAACACACGCCACCCGCCCGCCTCCTGCTGATGTCGGGCTGGGCTCAGGGGAGGCAGGAGGGGTGCTGCTGGGCCCTGGCTTCCCCACTTCTTCTAGTGCTGGCCAAGGGTGACGTGCCTCCCTGTGCTCCAGACGGCCAGGGGATCCAGGGAGGGCGGGAGGCAGAGGCCACCCCGCCCAGCAGCATCCTGGGAACCTGCCTGACTGCTCCAGTGACCCAGGCCTGCTTCAAGAGCGACCACAACAGAGACCTGCTGCGTGAACAGTGGGGGTGGTGCCAGCAGCTTCCGACTATGGGCTGGGGTCACATGTCGTCCTCCAAATGTAAACTCACTTGTTCCTCACAACGCCCCATTTTACAGAAAAAAAGCTGAGGCCCGGAGCTGCACCGCCACGTGCCACAGCACCAGTGAGTGAAGGGCACAGCTGGGGTCCTAGAGCCCCGCCCTACATCATCCCAGCAGACTGTCTCCGTGAATGAATCAGTCAGTCATTTATTGGCCCATCGGTCCAGGGACAGAAATACTCAGGCCCACAGACCCAGGGGAGCGCGCCTCCCTGGCCACTGGTCTGGGGCTGCCACGGGGACACTGCTGTCACCAGCACCATGACTCTCCCTCCTGGAGCCTCAGGGTGGCAGCACTGTTCTACGTGCCTGCCCCACAGCAGCCCTGATACCATCCCCATCTTACAGTGGAGAAAACCAAGTCACAGAGAGGACACGTCACTTCCTCAAGGCCACACAGCTAGGAGGCCGCAGAGCCTAGACTTGAACGCAGGTCTCCCAGGCCCAGCTTCCTGCTCTAAACTCCTAAAATGGCATGGCTGCTACCTCAGGTCATTCAAGTGGGTGCCTCCAATCCCCGAGGGGTGGGTGGCTGCCAAATGACACCAAGAACAGGACCCGTTTACGGCAGCTGTGGTAACGGTAGCCGAAGCAGTGTGACGGAGACAGACACCGTGGTGAGGGGGGCACAGCACCGGGCAGTATTTGGCTCTGTTGCACACGAGGTCCTCCTATGAGTCAGAACTGACTTGAGAGCAGCTAACAGCAACACGCAGTTGCTGTGGTAGTAGTTGTAGTGATGGTAGTAGCAACAGGCGGAGCAGTAGAGGCGGAATGAGCAGCAGGAGCAGGAACAGGTAAAGCAGGAAAAGTAAGCAGCAGGAATAAGATGTAACAGCCACAACAGATACACAGTAGCTGCCGTGAAAGTTGTCAGAACTGCAGATCGAGTAGTAGACGTAGTGGGGGAGACAGAATGAGGAGGAGGAGTTACAGATTTAGCAACAGCAGTAATAGCAGCAAAATACTCCGCAGCGGCGGCGGCAGACGCAGCAGCAGTAGCTGCTGTGATAGCTGTTGTGGTAACAGGAGTAGAGACAGTAGTAACAGTAGGACAGTCAGGACGAGCAGCAGATGCAGACACAGCGACAGACACAGTAATGACGGGTAGAGCGACAGGAGCGAGACAGAGCAGAGGAACGCATGGAGTCACGGAGCAGTGCTAACAGGCAGAGTAAGAGTATACATGGAGTAACAGCAGCGGTACCAACAGATGGAGCAGAAAGAATAAATACATGGAGTAACAGCAGCAGTACTAACAGGCAGAGTAATAGTAGTACGTGGAGTAATAGCAGCGGTACTAACAGATGGAGCAGGAGGAACAGATGGAGTAATAGCACTGGTAGTAACAGATGAGAAAGTAGTAACATGTAATAAGGAGTAACAGTAGCGGTAATAACAGAGCAGCAGGAATAGATGGAGTAACGGTGGCAGTAACAGAGCAGCAGGAACGGATGGAGTAACAGCAGCAGTACTAACAGACGGAACAGGAGGAATAGATGGAGTAATAGCAGTGGTAGTAACAGACAGAGTAGTAACAGATGGCCTATCAGTGGCGATAACAACAGATGGAACAGGAGGAACAGATGTAGTAATGGTAGCAGTACTAACAGAGTTATAGTAGTAGATAGAGTGACAGCAGTGGTACTAACAGATGGAGCAGGAGAAAGAGATGGAGTAATAGCAGTGGTAGTAACAAACAGAGTAGTAACAGATGGCCTATCAGTGGTGGTAACAACAGATGGAACAGGAGGAACAGATATAGCAATGGTAGCAGTACTAACAGATAGAGTAAGATTAGTAGATGGAGTAAAAGCAGCAGTACTAACAGACGGAGCAGGGAGAAATAGATGGAGTAATAGCAGTAGTAACAGACAGAGAGTAACAGATGGCCTATCGGTGGCAGTAACAACAGATGAAACAGGAGGAACAGATATAGTAACAGCAGCAGTACTAACAGAATAATAGTAGTAGTTGGAGTAACAGCAGTGGTACCAACAGATGGAGCAGGAGGAACAGATGGAGTAATAGTAGTATTGACAGACTAGTGGTAGTGCTACTAGTGGTAGTAGTAACAGATGGCATGATGGTAGCGGTACTAAGAGACAGAGCAGGAGGAACAGATGGAGTAATGGTAGAGTACTAACAGGTAGAGTAATAGTAGATGGAGTGATGGCAGCTGTACTAACAGTAATAGTAGTACATGGAGTAACAGCAGCAGTACTAACAGAGCAGGAGAACAGATGAGTAACAGTAGTGGTATTAACAGATCGAACAGTAGTAACACGTGGAAAAAGGAGCAACAGCGGTGGTAGTAACAGAGCAGGAGGAATACATGAAGTAATGGTAGTGGTAACAACAGAGAGAGCAGCAGGAACAGATGGAATAACAGCAGCAGTACTAACAGATAAAGTAATAGTAGTAGATGGAGTAACAGCAGCAGTACTAACAGACAGAGCAGGGGGAATAGATGGAGTAAAGCAGTGGTACTAACAGATGGAGTAGTAACAGACAGAATAAGAAGTAACCGTGGTGGTAATAACAGACAGAGCAGGAGGAATAGATGGAGTAACAGTAGTGGTAACAACAGATGAAGCAGCAGGAACAGATGGAGTGATGGTAGCAGTACTAACAGACAGAGTAATAGTAGTAGATGGAGTAATAGCATCTGTTCTAACAGAATAGTAACAGATGGAATAAGGAGTAACAGTGGTGGTAATAACAGACGGAGCAGGAGAACAGATCAAAGAACGGTAGTGGTAACAACAGATGGAACAGGAGGAATGGAGTAACAGCAGCAGTACTAACAGACGGAGCAGGAGGAATAGATGGAGTAATAGCAGTGGTACTAACAGACGGAGTAGTAAC